GTTCAAACATTAAGTCCTGAGGTTTATTGACTTGTGCTGGAGCTAGAAGCAAATAAAAATGTCCAGTTTGGACGAAACTGGAATTTAAAATTTAATAATAACTAGTTAAAATATAAGGTTCAGCAAAAGAGATCCAATAGAGATTCAGTTATGGAATAAGTGATGTTGAAGTGAAGTAAGTTATTTGGTAATCTGACGATACAGTTTATGACAGAAAATATGCTATGTTCTGCAATAATTTGTAACAATTATAAATTTGACTACAGAAGACAAATACGTAGACTTGTAGCCAGTATTTTACCCAAAGGAAACATAGATTATTCAACCTCAAGTAGAAAGTGTTACAATTGTTACTATTGTAATTGTTAGGAAGTTCAATGTCTGTTGGTTATACACTCTATGATATTGCTGTTGAAGTACGGTATCCAAAGTCAATTGTATGGTATTTAATCTATGGTTGTAGGTACAGCTGGTGGCGCTCAGCTGTTTTGCATACAATGGGTGTCACCTGGATTAATGTAGCGTCTTTGTACAGCGCCGCCATTGTCAGAAACGCATTCTGCTTACCACTGTTCATTAGATGGCTTTTTGTTCTTTGGAGATTACTGTTGGATTATTCTCCTTTTATTCTCACGAACATGACAAATGGGAAATGCAGAATGTAGTTGCTGGAATGAAGAAAGTATAATGGTGCAATAAAATATTTTCGTGCCTAGCGAAGAAAAACTTTTTTAGAAAACAGACAATGATTATATCAACATGACTTTTGACACAGAGTATATTTTTTGTGCTTTTGATTAAGTTTCAGGTGCAGAGAAACAGCATACAAAGAATATGCGAATCAATATAAGAGATTTATAATTGCTTTGTCTTAATTTCAGCCTTTACAGAGATGCTAAATTACTTCAATTAATAACATTATTCCTCTATGTGTTTCATAAAGCTGTAAAATGTATAATTTGACATCGGTTTAGTTCAATCAATAGTCTGGTAGAATCTAAATAATGTACTTGTGAACATTGATTCTATTTTTGTTCCCACTTAAACCAAATAAAAATTCAATTTCGCCACCAACTAGAAACTTTTGATGTTTAAGTACAACTGTAATTATATAGGGGTCAACAGGTCTATTTTACCTATTACTTATGTATAATTTTGTAGCTGTAATATAGGTATTTTTTTAGTTCTCCTGGATTAGACAGACAGGAACAGGCAAGCATGTTTCGTTAAACCCTTAGGGAAAATATACGCATACAGTTGGAATAGTTATTTGTGTAACTAGTGGTGAAAGTGGCACTTTGCTGCACACGAGAGCAATGTTTCCGCACGAGCCGCAGGCGAGTGCGGAATGATCTCGAGTGCAGCAAAGGCCTTTTTCACTCGTGTTACACATTATATTTTTCCTACAGTCACTATAAAGCATATAAATAATTAGTCTTTCAAACACTATACAACACGTTTTTAGGTTCAGCTGGTTAACACAAATGGTGCCCTAGAGAAAGTAGTACCCGCGGTACGTATCACTCCGCTATTTTTCCTCGGCAAGAAATGTGCTCCGTGTTTTAAGAATATAGTTCCGTATGTTTTTGTAATTTGAAGTGGTTTCCGCGCCTAAAAAAAATGCTTTAAAGGTATTTTCTTGATTATTAAGATCGTAGGAATGTTTTTAAAACGTTTAAAAGAAAAGTCCAGAAAGTTCAGAAATACCGAAACTATAAACACGAAATGACAGGTTAAATCGTAGTTATAATGGTCAATCAGCTGCTCATGGTATTATTATCTTTAAGTGTTGCCAACCTATTTCCAAGCGTACACGGATTACGTGCATAATAGAACCACGCTGTTTTGTGTTGTTTCGTTGGAATCCTGATGTGCGGCAAAGTATAAACCGTACGGCAAAGTATAAATATGCAGCAATTAGCAGCTTTCTGTACTATAAACAGTACAAGGAAGCCAACTTTGTCGGGTGACTGTAGGAAAAGATATTTTCCTGTAGATGTACATAATCCCTTTACAAATATAAATAGGCTAAAAAAGCACAAAAATGAATTTGAAATAAAAAAAAATAACATCGTCCCCATGGGTTGACATGCTGGTCATGAAATAACAACAAAATATAAACAGAAAATCAAAACAAATGGAAGAAATTACAATCACATGTTTTATTTACAGCATGGGGTAAAAATAGAGAAACCTGTACCTTCGACTGCCTGTACACATTACAATATATTTTTGGTCGAATTTTCGACCATTGGACGACCACTAGTTCTAAAATCTTGACAGCCTATTTGAAGACTTGATTAGAATAACTGTACTCATAAAACAAATACAGTCTTACTTTTAGAAAGTTGAAACTGGCTAACTTAAAACAAACCTAGGATATCGTTGGAGTCTGCACAACTTTAACTAATTGCTACAGACTTTGCTGTCTTACAGCAACATTTGAGGTGGTTAAAGAAGCTTCTCGTCTCTAGAAACTTCAAAGAGCGTCGGGCAACAATACTTGCAGAAACATGGTAATTAAATTATCACGCCTTGCCTCCCATGCTGAGTACAGTTTACAAAACAATTACGTTGCTGTATAGGGAACTTTAACATTTGGGTTGTCTTGTTTAATTTAATTGCTTTAATTAATTAAATTAAATTTCAATTGTTCAGTTAAAACAATGAGCCCGTTGGTGTAGCAAGTTTAACACGTGTCATTATTTTTGAATACGTCATCAAGTAACGATTCACGATCAACAGTCTATTTCATTGAAGTCAACCCTTATGAGTCAACTAAAGATAAGCTAATATTTTTTTCTAGAGAAGCATAAATGTATGCCGTACAAGGTAATGTTTACTTTCAATTTCTTACATTTTTCAACAAAACAAAACATTACATTATTTATCCGTTATTTTTAGCTAATTTCCCTATGGAAGTAGCTATTGCCGTAGGTGGCATGTTAAGACCTAGGCCCGGATGGAGAGAGGGATGGAGGGATGGAAAGAGGGAGAAAGGGATGGAAGGAGGGATACAGGGAGCCAGGGATGGAAGGAGGGAGACAGGGAGACAGGGATGGAAGGAGGTGGAAAGGGATCGAGGGAGGGATGGAAAGAGGAAGAAAGGGATGGAGGGAGAGATGAAGGGATGGAAATAGGGATAAAGGGATGGAGATATGGATGGAAAAAGGAAGAAAGGGATTGAAGGAGGGAGAAAGGTATTGAGGGTGGGATGGTGGGAGGGGTGGTTGGAGGACAGGATGGAGGGAGGGGTGGAGGGTCAAAAAGCGCAATTACGACTTATAGTAATATAAAATACTGTATAGTAACGGTATAGGTTACAATGAGAAGTCTCCTAGTTGAAAGTCAATGCTATTGCTTAGCGTGGATCAAATGCATGATGTATTAGATTTTCTCTTTCATTATCCGTGATAAAAAATTCCATTACTGAGGTTGCCGGTTGTGTCCCAAGAGTTCGACAATTCTCCCAAACCAAGTTTAATTCACACTTCTTCCCACTGAGCCAAGGTTATTTATTTTTATCCTGCACTAACAATATGGGGTTTGCTGATAAAAACTTAAATTACTTTTTGAAAATGTATCAAACATTTAACTCCACTTTAGGTTGAAATATAATTTCTTCAAACTTCTACTAACCCATATTTCACTTTAAAGCTAACATGGAAACTGCACCTTTTAAATATTTAACCGTATTTAATCCTGATCAATAGAAATCCTTGGTATGTCTTACGAGTATTGTAAATTAAAATATAGATGTAAATAAACAGCCAGGATTAAGTATATATTGAAATATAGTTGTGAGGAACATGTTAGTCCAAAGTTGTTTACACACACGTTTTACAGTCTGCTTATTTTGACGTATTGTCATAATGATCTAATGGTTATTGTGCTCAGAATATTTTACGATTGTTTGTGTTACAAAATATGCTATTTCAGCATGCATTTTAAAACTAATAAAAAATGTGTCGTAAATAAGAACTTTTCCTAATCAGTCAAAAATTTGGTAGACTAATGTTATTTTACTTCAAATCAGCTAGAATTATTCAGTATGATAACATTTATTAACTGAATTCTACTTTTGTGTTTTTTATATGATTTTACTGTATATAAATGTCCATACAGTGGTAATATTTCATATGACCATGCAGAAGTAGTTGAATTATGAATTGTATTGCTCCTTCGAGCGTCATAAACTGAAAATGTTTCCTATACAAACGGCCCTGCATTGGCTACGAGTAAGAATATTCAGTGCAGCAATGAAATCTATGTGTTGGCTGTCAAATGTTTGACAGTACTATTTGTATATAAATACAAGCAAGTTTACATTTGACCAGTAACGTCATTTGTTAATTTTTGTTTCATACAGTTATCTTTTCTAATATACTTTTATTGCCAAACGGTTTAGCAAATCGCGGAGCAAATCGTTCCTTCGTTCTACCTTAAAAAGTTTCTGTATTATTCTTAATTTAAAAATGCCTTAGGGATCTGCCCCCTGGCTCTCAAAGACGTAATTTTAAGTTTTTGCAAATTATTTTATTGTTGGTACCTATTTGATTGAAACAGGAATATAGTACTTTGTTTACATTCACTTGATATTTCCTTCACTTTATACTCACTTTTACACCATATTTCCTTCGAAGTGGCCAGTCCTTACCAGTTCATCATCAGTCATCGTCAAGCTATTTTAAAACTGAAATACAATAATACAATGAATATTAGTTTAAATTATAGCTAATTACATAAAAAAAATATATAAACGTTTTTTTTTCTTAGCTTTTAATATTCTCAGACATGATGTATACTTCCTGTAACACTTTTAAGATAGGTAATACATTTCTATAATATTGCCCAAAATATAGTAAGTTTAACTCGCAGATTCTATAACCAACGGCTTAGAGACTTTCCCACAACACGTGCTCTAAAAATATCAAGTTGTTCTGCCAGCTGTCTTTAAATCCATTGTTGACACTTGAGTTTGTTTACAAGTTCATTTTCTGGTTACTGAGACTGCAACCAACTCTTCTCCTAAGTTTGATTTTCGTTTAAAAGTTAAAATTATATCTTGTCGTACAATGAGTAAGCTGTACATTGGAAATCTACCACCAGACGTCAGTGAATCCACGCTGAGGAAGCTTTTCGTCGAAAACAATCTTCCTTGCAGAGCGATCATGATAAAACGAGGAGGTTATGCCTTTGTGGACTGCATGGACCAATCGACTGCGGACAAAGCTATCGACAAATTCAACGGATGTAACTTCTTCGGGACGCCTCTCCAAGTGGAACCGTCAGTCGTCGGTGCTGCTACTCCTGGAAAGAAACCTGGAAACACCAATGATTTTGTAGAAATAACAATTGAAGATGAAGATAAATGACTTTGGGGTTAGAAAGTCTGTTGTAAGTAAGTCGAATGAAGAGTGCCAGTTATTTAGAATTAATAATGTACTTTGATAATAGTTATTTTATATGGTTTATAGTTGTGCCTGTTAAATTTTCGCCATTTGTAATATGGATGTGTTAGCTTGTATTTTCGATATTGAATTTTCAGTTACCGGTAACTGAAACATCTTCTAAATTTGAGTGAGACAATGTAGATATTTCTGCAACAAAGTTCGGCGCCACCGAGATGTTTGTCTGGGTGTATAGCCCTAATGACCCCCTGGTGCTACAATTACGTGAATGTCCGTTCAATTACCCAACGTATGGGAGAAGACATAAGACTCAATTGGTGATAAACTTTCCAGTTGTGCCTGATTGCACTTAAAAGAAAACTTAAGAAAACATTACAAATTTTATGGTATTGCAACAAAATTAACATAAAGATTTATTGTGTCCAAGTTTATGTTTATTTAGGCCTATCTTAAGATTCAAATGTCTTAAACAATTATTAAAAATGACTACTATCAATAGTCAAACCAATTAATAAATTTTTAAGATTGGTAGTCTATTATTATTTTAAATTTGGAACACAATCCAAACACAGTTCATTCTGTTACTGGTGTGACGAGAAATCGCGTTTGAAATTGAAATTCGACGCAGCAAACAACTCTTTCGCTGTTTGTCATTTCGTTTCATTTTCAGAGTTTGATTGCTTGTGTTGAAAACAATATGTGGATTTAAACAATATTATCGTAGAGCTTAGAGAGAAGGGTTATTCGCCTTTATCCAGTGGTTCAGTGCTCTATTTAAGCTGTAGTTTCACCTGTTGGTAAAAGGGTAAGTTTCTTAGACGAAGATGCTTTTCTATGTAGGTACTTAAGAATTGCATGTTCTAGGCCTACCTGCTAAAACCCCTTTTAGCGAATATCCCTATAGGGAAGTAGCTATTACCGTATTTGGTTTAAAGGTGTAATGCGGGATAAAATTGAATGAGTTTGCGAACCAGCATGATCGGACCATGGGAACGGGGTTTTACGGGAGGTTTTATGGGGTAAAAATTGGTTTTTCGTCCCTCAAAACACAAATTTCCCAACTTCTCTCTGGACCTTTTTAAAGAGCTTAAAAAACAAATAATTTTGTATAGCCTATCAAAGTGTTATTGTACAATTATTGGCAACGGAGAAAATTAAAAAAAAATGTACAAATTTAAAATTTCCATGTTATTCTAATGGAGAATATTGTAAAATTTATTTTATACTAAGCTATTAATATTTTAATAAAAACCACACTTTATTGGTTTCCTTGTAGCATCAAACCTAGGTACTCTTAAAAATTTTTTTTCAATAGATTTAATTGAAAATCAATTCAGACAAATTAAAATTCGCATAGTTGGCAGGTTTGCTGCGGCGGGGGTATTTGATTATCTTTCCTTAATTACTACCGTATAGCAAATTTGTAGGCTACCGTATACTGTACATCAAATTTTCAAACACAGAACGATACAAATAATATTTTATAACTCTCACTTCCGAGATTTGTTACTCATTCGGTGGATTCCCCTGTGAGGAAACCTTATAAAAGTTTAAGAAGAACTCGACATTTCGATCAGAATTCACCTGCTCCGAGACATCACTGATTTGAAATATTCATAGTTCCATTTCTAGATTTTGTAACGTTTTGGGTTGACATTGAAGGGACTAAAATGTTTTCTCATCATGTTAACATTGACGGATGATGCACGTTAAAAGTTGCAAAAATACTGGTTTGTGGATTTGAACAACAGTTATACCTGTTATTCTAATATCAACACTAAAATGAGTTAGTAATGTTTGTAACCGTATTCACATCAAATAGAATAAAAAGACAAACGTAAATAATTAAGAGGGTCAATGGCCATGTTTTGCTTTGTTTCGTTATCTTAGTTCATTGTTCGATGCCTTTAAAGGGATACTGCATACAAAGTAGATAATGGATCGGTCTTTATGGTACTGTAAAATACACAACATCTTTGCCTTAATTAGCATTATTTATTTTAGAAAGGTTTTTACACCACAGTACACTGTTTAACCAACTTCCTACGTAGGGATTTAGTCCAGAAAACTGCCGTTTGTCGCCAGTATAATCAAATGGGGGTTCATTACGTACTACTGTACTGTAATGAGTTTTTACCGGACACCAACCAGCTGATTATGTATGGCAATGAGCATAAACAAAACACATATTATGAGTAGTGATTGTTAGTCCTTTAGTCGGTGGGAATATAAGGACTTGTCACACTGAGAGGTTATAAACGTAAACATAACCTCTCTTAGAAGTTATGAGTTGTGATTAACTAATTAAAACACGGTCGTAGTAAAGAAGTGTATGCAACTCGCGTAAATAGTCTTTACGCCAGTTTGAATAACTTTGTAAATTCAAAGCCCAAACAATTGAGTTTTATGATCTATGGTGAGACATACATCGACATTTTGCCTCTCAAAACAGCAGAGATGGTTAGGTTTGTAATTAAGGTACAAGTGACGATTCAAAAAAAAAAAAAAAAAAAAAAAAAAAAAAACAAGGTACAAAACTTTTCTTTGAGGTACAACCCGGTAGATTTTGAACCGTTTATGCGTCTAAGCCATCCATTCAACTGAAGTAAAGTACAATTTTTAAGTAGTGTTACTAGTGATGATACATATGTTAAAGAATTAAAAACAATATTTTTTATCAAAATAACAGGACAGATTGTGCGGATATGAGTCAGTTGGACAATATCCGCATTTTAATCACTCTTTGTTGGTCAACCTATGATTGAGTTTTGCAGGGGTGAAGAGTATATTGTGATACCAAACCTCATTGTTTGACTGTATGGAAAGTTTTGTTTTCCAAAGTTGCCGTTGATGTTATTCAACAATTTGACCAGTTAATAATAATATGTGTCTGTCGTCCGTTTGTCATCCCATTAGGCATAAACACTACGTAGACCAACATGTCATAAGTTTCTTACCATACCGAGGGAAATAATGTAAATATTGCCGATTTGATATTTTGACCTAATGGGTTTCTCCAGACATTCAAAGTAATGAGATGGGGGTTTGAGAATTGAAACTGATTCACTCATGACAAAATATTAATACGTAATACCACTTGTGACATGGACCGCACTAAACATCCCATTCCCTTGTTAAAGGCGTATATACTTTAGATTAACAAGATCGTGCATGAATCGAGTCTAAACAGAGGTGCTGCTGCCGATTGCTGATTTCTGTAATACCATTTGTAACAAAGTCTGAGAAAAGATGTGGAATACTTATTTGTGTAACTAGTGGGCAAAGTGGCACTTTGCTACACACGACAGAAATGCTTATGCACGAGCCGTAGGCGAGTGTGAAAAGTTTCTGGAGTGCAGCAAAGGCAGTTTGCACTCGCGTTACACATTACATTTTTCCTACAGTTACTTTAAAGCATATAAATAACTAGTCTTTCAAACACGGTACAACACGTGTTTAGGTTAGGTTAAACTCAAACATTGAACGAAATTGGAAACGCTGCACCAGCTGATCGTAGTCTTAATATCTTTAAGTGTTGTCAACTTATTTTCAAGCGTACCTACACGTATTACGTGCCTAATAAAAACACACGTTTTTGTGTTGTTTGGTTGGAATACTGGTGTGCCAATAAAAAAATATTAAAAAAATGTGTAGCAAAAGTAAAAAGTGTGCGGCAAAAGTAAGTAGATGCAGCAATTAGCAACTTTCTGTGCTATAATCAGTGCAAGGAAGGCCTTTTTGCCAGGTGACTGTAGGAAAATGAGTTTTGTTTTCGTTTCTTTAATTCTCCTAATAAAATGCAGCTGATTCAACACAGAACAAAAACCTATTTTTTAGATTTAGACCATTGATTATAGGAACCTCGAAAGTTTGTTATCAATGATTAAACTACACCTGTCAAACAATACCTTCAAATGACAAACTTGTTCTACTCTACACTCATACTCTGTTGCAAACCACTGTCAAAGCTAGTAGTAAAACTACTAATACAAATTAGATTATCCTGATTTTCCTATTGCATGGTTTGTATTTTACATTTCGCCTACGGGGTTTGTAAGCCAGTTACACATTGATTGCACGTTAATGACCATGATGACGTATCAATGCGCCGGATATGAAAGAGCTGTCATGCTCGGACAATATCCGTTATTTAATCGATTTTTCAGTGGACATTTGTTATTGGATTTCGTTGGGGATGAAGCCCTGATGAGTTACATGAGGGACGTAATAGTTCTGCAGTAATTTTCTAATGTTTCCATCAACATCCAATATGAGTCTAGTCCCACATCCTTGAACGCTAGGATTCTAGCTCGAAAATTGGCATTTTACTTCAGGCTAGTCGTAGAGGGTCGGCGATTAGGGATTGGTGGTATTTGAACTCGGGACCTCGGAAACCGAAGCCACGCGCTTTGGCATTTGACCATCTCGCTCCCTACAACATCGAAGTAGTTGATACTCTGCTCATGTAAAGAAATAGGAAACTGTTAATTCGGTTTGGTTGTTGCCTTCACTGTTTGAATAATGCCTACTCATGTAAAAAGGTTCTGAAAAAAAAAAATAATATTCAAAATCTATATAGATCTTTATAGAAAAAGACCACATTTTTTACAAAGCCTTGCTAAGCTAATTACAATTGGTTGCAATCTTTCAATCATACTTTTTGAATATTTTTCAAAATGGTTACACAATAAAGGTTTAGCAATGTATTGTAACCATATTACTGAATCCTCTTGAACCTTTCTCCCTACTTGATTATTTTGTATCTAAACAACCATGTATTTTCAACCATGAAAGTTAACGATTCTTATTTTATTTTTTAAAGCCGTTTAGAGTAGGCCTATCACTCGAAATTTAACTTCAAGAAGTCATGCAAAGTATTATTTAACTGGTAAATAGTTACGCATTATTTCTTAGAGATTATCTTTTCCTATATGTACTAAAATGATGAGCTTTGTGATAAGGCATGAATACACATTGAGGCTCACCGCAAATATTCTTATCCAAGGATCATTGAATGAGACAGCTGTAGCATCCTAATGGTGTGTGCTAACAGCAGTTAAACCAAAACTCATCGAATAACGTTGCGTACCAATCTGTAATGCATCTTTCAGGTTGGATTTCACTCATCTACGGCAACAACAAAGAGAATCATTATCCAGTGAACTACTCTTTGACACCCGGGGGGCGTTTGAGCGAAAATAACCCCACTACTCTTTGATCATCCTGGTCCGCTATCAAAGCTAATTTGTGAAGCTTCCCCTTAAAATGTCCAAATTGCGTTACGTTAAAGTTTGTTTTATCTCAAGTCTTCACTTTCCTGCGTAAACTCTTGCGTTTCGTGCGTTAAATGGTGGTTAAAAGTTTC